AGAGCTCAAGTCTCCCAATTCCCCATCAAATTCCCTTCATTGCCACTTGCTGTGGGAGCGGAGCCCTAACATATGTTTGTGAGTGTGAAAAACTGGAAAACATTGACAGCTAGAGTTTAAAAAGTTCAGGGAGGAGAGTCAGCAGTCCTATCTGGGACTGTGTGCACAGCTATGAGAGTATGTCACATTGGAGCGCTTCTCCACCCCAACCCAACAAATTTAGAACCATCCTCAAAAATAGCCAGGGAACAACGTATAATTGGTTTCACAGACAACACATTCTCATGCTGTGATTTATTTCGTAACGTCTAGTGAGTGTCATCACGCCGCACTCAAAGCCTCGGAGCTGGCATTCAGCGAGGGCCCAGAGAATGAAAATTACCAGCTTCCCCGATGAATCACAGCTTTGAAAATTCACCCTTGTGAGAATCCTGTGACTATTTAGAAAAAAAAAAAAAAAAAGCTATTACAAGCCCGAGTCTATCACTCATATAATTAGCCCTTTCTAGGTTTGATGTGGACAGGGCAGCATTCCTAAAGCACCATAAACACGGCCAGGACCAATAATGACTTTAGAAATGAAGTGGAGAAGTTCTCACAATTAAGGTGGGGAATGAGGACAGCTACGGACGGGCACATAAATACACAGAAAGGCAGGTCTGTGTGCGCACTGTGGGCTCCGGTGCTGAGACGACACCTCCCGCACAGATCGCTTGGCTTGGACTGGAGCTACCTGCAGCATGAAGGCAACAGGCGCCTTAGTGCTGCTCAGCCTGCTGCTGCTCTCTTTCTTCTCGGGTAAGTGATCTTTTCCCTAGCCTAGAAAAAAAAAAAACCCAAATTTTCCTGACAACAGCAAACTTTGGAGAGCCTTGATCACCGGATGACAGGCTTGAAGATAAAGCTGAGCAAGTAGAAAGTATCTGCAGGACTTGCTCACTCGTATGACATATTTCCATTCCTCGTGTGGCTCCGCAGTGAATAACGCAGCGGAGGTGTCACGGGGAGACAGAGCGAGCAAATTCTAAGTGGCTCTTTCAGCAAATGTACCAAAGTGTACATAGTGTAATTATGAATTTTTGGTACAAATGTTCGCTGGAGAGTTTTGCTGAACCAGTTAGAGAAGAAACTCACTCACCTCAGGGTCATCAGCTCTTGTTTTGATCCTAAGCATCTTGGTATTTGGTGTTTTCCTTGGAGATGTGGAAACATAATTAGATGAAAGTTTCAGCTTTCATTTACGTTGCAGAGAAAAGCTTGAAAATTAAATTCAAATGTCCTCAAGGAGTCAGAACAAAGAGGACAAATTAAAAGGATCCAGCATTTTATTTATCTGGAGATTTACACATCTCTCTGACGATCTGGGGAAGCTGAGTGATGATTTTTGAACATATAGGTCATGTCAGTGTTATCAACTGCTTGCGTCCGGCTGACCCAGCTCTGGAAGGTTTGTTGTGACAGTTATTGAAGGATGTGCAGAACAGGAATTATTTATACTTGTTTTTCTGTGAATAATTTGAATAAAGAATTCACTTGAGAAAATTGCAAGCTGTGCATGGAGAAAATACATGAATTACTTTATACACATTATTCATTATGAAATATTCATCTGTCTCTAATTGAGTCTTAATTGGGACTGGGTTCCGTCAGAGTGCTGAAGCTTCCTTCCAAGGCCAGGCAGAATAGCAGCAAACTCTGTGATCTCCTATAAAATAAACAAATGTCAAAAGACATCATCACAAAGTCTTGTGTAGCCACATGTAATATTTATAAAAACTAGCTAATGAGCTATTTTGTAAATGATATGCAGATAGCCGTAACAGTGACTTTACAATTAAGGCAGCCTAGCCTAACCTGAGGACATGATAAATACACCAGCACCAGGGATAAAACCCCGAAGGGCAATACAATTGGCAGAAGAAGTAGGGTGGGTTGCTGGATGATGTCTAGCTGATTGAGGCTTGGGTGGGATTTCCAATGTGTGGGGGCCAAGTGTAGGACAAGGTCCTCCCATCTCCTGCCCCTGGTTCCCTCCTGCTCAGAGCCACCTGAGCAGCACCACAGCTGGCAGCGGCCCCACCGACCCAGCAGGCACAGCCTCGCATCCCAACCTCGGCTGCCCCGCTGCCGTGCGAGATGCTGGGTATTTGTCCCACGGTGTTGTGACTCAGATTCTGCAAATCTGCATTCAAGCCACCCTTGAGTGTCAGGCTCCCCCTTAGAGACATCGCAGGGTCGCCCTGACCCGTGGCTATGGCTCAACCTACGCGCCTGACTGCAGTCTTTGCAGTGAAGAAATACAAAGAGGGTGGACTGATT